ATTTTATCAGTCTGGGATAACTATGTTAGGTCCTGACAATGAATTTCACTATAAAAATTAAGCTGGAATCAGTGCAGTTCTAGATACAAATACAGAAATTGTTCCTTTGTACATCACCGTGCCTAGGTATTAGCAGTCTTAAGAGCCACACATCAATCATGGACAGTTCAGAACTCTAAATAAGAATAGGCCTCACTGAAAGCTGTAGGACATTATGGCTTGGCTACCTATATAAACCTCCCAGCCTGACACTTCATCAGTGTTCTTACTGGCAAACTATGCATTAAGAAACCTCCATAAAAAGTGAAATTTTCAATAGTTCTTAAACTATGGAGAAGAACTTGATGAAAAAAGAAAGCCTTGGAGCAATGCAGCTAACAAAGCAGCCCGGTATCCATGGCTGCTGCAGTTAAGTTTGCAGAGTCAAGGCAATACAGGCCTGCAGTAGGAAACAATCTGTGTGTGAAGCAAATTTTAGTTTGCTTGTTGCCTGTCTCTAATTTACCATTTTCATTAAATATAGCTTTTAAAAAACTTCAGAAAGCTATCCTGCTTTTATTAAAAGATATTTTACAAGGTGCATGTATGTACTTATGAATACAATACACTTCTGCATTCATCAACACTGAACAACCCGCCAGTCTTTGCACTGAAAAAAGGAAAAACAAAACAGGCCTCAGGTAGACTTTTTCCAGATTTAACAGTTAACTATTTTGAAGAATTACATTTATGTGAACATAGGGAACATGCATGTCAAAGAGGGTAGATTAGCATCATTATTTTCAATAATGCATAACTTCACCTTTAGCTTTACCCACTTTTCCCAAGCAGTTTGAATAGTGTTTTTTATTTCACAGATGCACCCCCCACTGCTATTTGTATCCTGATGCCCATTAAGCAGAGATATCTACTTGGAATATTTAATATACAAAATAAAACATACAAATATAATGCTGCATGAAAAACAAACAAACAAACAAACAAACTTAAATGTGCATTGTCACGTTATTTGCTTATTAATTTGATTCCATAAATTTCCCACCAATTATGATAAACAATAATTATACTTTTTAGTATGGAATAGTAGTCAAGGAGTGTTAAAAACTGACTTTTTCACAAGAACTGTTTTATTTTTTGCCTTGAAAACTGTATACAACAAATCTTTAGCAGAGTCTATTTGAAAGTGTGCCAGAGTAAAAAACCTACATGTACTTTTAATGTGGAAACATGAAATAGGAGAAAAAAGAAACAGCATTTTCTAACAGCACAGCTCTGGTTTGTCCAGAAAACAAAACCAAAAACAAACAAACAAACAAAACTAACTATTAAGAAAATTGGGAGAGTTTACCAATGTAATTCTTATATCCAGGTGTTTGGGACAAAACAGTCTTCGCCTAGGTTTCATTGAATTAATCAAACTACCTGGAATGCCTCATCTACTAAGGATTTTCCATTTATACCTGTCTAGAAATGACACATTGTCTGGAAATGACAAGCATCTGAGGAGTTGTGGCATGGAGGATGTGTCATTCTTACAGTATACAATGGTATATTACAATCCACTGTTGTTAATCACCATATCTTTTCTTTTTTGATAGACAATCAAGGAATAATCTATAAATATGCAAGACAGGTTTTAAGAACATACTACTGTTATTCCATCTACATGATTTATTTGGGAACATTTTAATATATGCCTGCAAGAATCTTGCAAGCCCTCCACATTAAAATTCTGCTTACAGAGTGTTAATGGACAGGTATTAAAACATTAAAATAATTAAGTCATTGATACAATTCAGTGGAGTCAAAAGGCTTCCTTAAATTGCCTTATAATTTAGAGCAGGAACTTCATTAATCAGAAACAAAATAATGTAAGATCTATCAAAGAGAATGTTATGGTGGGGGCAGTAATTTATTGTGACAGATCTTTACTCTCTGCTAGATACTATGCCTAAAAAGATGTTATCACTGTACTTGAGCAGCAGCAAAAGTAATAACGCAGGAAAACGTGGCAGCAAGCTATTTGACACAGAAATTCACAGGTCTATTCCCAGATGGTCAGGATCCTTGCACTTATGTTCAGGATTCATACATTCAACTTCAAATACAAGTACAAACTTGAAGTTAAACCAGCAGTGCAGGGACTTGGTATTCACAAAAGCTAGCTTTTCATCTGATACCAAAAAAAACTTATATTTTGAGAGCCAAAGGTAATTGCAAAAGGCTGGTCAGGCATTTTGCATATGTGGCCAATATTCACTACATTCCTTTCACTTACTGAAATAATGCCTCATATTTTTCAGGTTTATGAACATTCAAACATACAAAACAAAAAGATCAAGAACATATCAAATCTGAATCAAATATGTTTAGTAACATTTGATTGAGGAGCAACGCATGCAAAAATTAGATGAAGTTTCTACAATTGAAATTTAACCCTTAATTTAATAATTTAACTTAATTACTTAATGTGAAGAATAATTACTATTGGAATTTCATAAACAGGTCTAAAAAGATGGCTGTTTCATTGGTCATAAACCTTAATGAGCACTTTGTAGCAAACTTCAAATCAAATCTAGGAGCTGACACAGATTGTTTTTTTTTTTGCCACAGACCAAGATAGCAGGTAGAATCTAAATCTTTGGAGAGTAATTCCTCTTAAATAAACATAAACTCTGAATTGACATTACATACAATTTCTCCCTTATAATATCTCCATTTACATCTTTCTTTCCCTTCCTTTTCAAGAAAAGAGGATATGCAGTAGAGCTTTAGTTATCTATTAAGAGTGTATTCAGTAACTATGACATGTTCCAAAATCATACATTTTCAAAATCATAGAATGGTAATAATATTACCACATCAATCAAGTTGAAAGATAGATTTCTCTGCTTGGGAAATCTGACTTTCCAGCAAAACAAAATTGTAACAGCAGCTAATTTTTTTTTTTTTTTTTTTTTTTTTTGAGATGGGCAAGATGTTCATTTCTTATTTTTTTGAACAGTTGTCTTGCCTAGTATGCACATGTGTATTATCAATTATTTGTCTCTACAAGAATGTTTCTTACATTTCACATTGTGAATTTCTTTTTTACTTATCCATGACTACTGCTCTATTATGTTAAATTACTTATGATTCTTGCATATGATGCTTTGTTTCAAAACCTGATCTTGTTCAGGAATAACTGCTTTACTTCACACTTGAATCTGGCATATATGTCAATGTTTTGCATCGCCTCATTCTTTGCATGGCACTAGAGCCTATACAGCTCATGGACAATACAATTTTGCAATGGGTTGAAGAGCTCGGGCAAATATTCAGTTCTAATGTAGGATCTTTAAATTCCCAATGTTTTGAAGTATAATTAAATCTACAGAAAACAGAGTTCACAAGAGAAACTCAGTGTGTATGTATCTTAGTTACTATCTCAAATCTCTCTCAAAAGTACAAGATGAGTTAACCCAGTATTTTGTTCAGTACAATGTTTATTTATGAGAAAAACAGAAGTAAAATGGCAGGAAAGAAAAGGAAGATGAAAAGGGAAAAGAAGAGGAAGACGGTAAAAGAGATAATAATGTGGTTAAAAATACCTGACTCATGCCCTCATTCTTGACTGTAGTCTAGCAATGCCAGCACTTTAATTTTAAGAATAAATTTAGCAAAAAAGCTCTTTGAAGTTTACACAACACCAAAATAAACTGTAAGCAAACTGAGAAGATGGAATTGAAATACACAGCCAGGGGTTAAAAAAAAAAAAACAGTAAACACAATCTGCATCATCTATTGCCCAATAACTTACAGGTGCATACAAGGAAAAGTACAGCAAGTAAATATCCACCTACGTAACTAGTTTATTTGGAAGATATATTTTTTCCCCTTCTAATTTTCAAAAAGATATCACAGAATATTTTTCCCTAAGACGTTTTAGAAAACATTGTTTTTTTCTTCATCTCTGCACAGCATCAGCTACCACACTTCAGGGAAAAAAAACCTCACTGATGGCTAAAACAGTCACTTATTTCATAATGCAGTTAAACACTACATGTACTGAATACAGGAATAAAAGCAAGCCCTAATCCTCCAGAGATTTATTCCTTGTTTTTAAGTATAGGAATATGTGAGTCATCCTAATTAAGTCATTAGGATTATCCATTTTAAGGTAATTGAGACTATACTGTACATTAAAAATTAGAAACCTACATAAGTTTTTCCATGTTTAAGTAATATGTTATTTTGCACCTATTAAACACGAAATATATATATATCTTAAAAGGATTCAGTATATAGCAAAAGGTGATTTTCTGTGTGTGACTGTCCATCCAGACCTCATACCGCATGCAAATAGATGTAAAAACAAACATACATTTATTTATTTATTCATTAGCTCTTTCACAAGGATGTAAACTAAGAATGAGCAAAAAATGCAACCCATTCTCCGCAACTTCTCTTGTTAGTTTCAGCCTCTGGGTGCATTTTAGAAGGCATTGTAGATCGTCTTTACCCGGGACTGCATTTGTATTTTATTTTTAAACAGCTAGCATGATAGGACTTTATTCACTACAATGAGAACATGGGTAGCAAGAGTCCATACAGAAAATGTTTCAAAGTTAAAAATAATTTAATTCCTTTTTGGACAGGCATTTTCATGCCAGGTTCTCAGAATAACTTTGTTATCACCATCACATATTTTGTATAAACTAGGCTGATATAAGCTGCTACACTAAAGAGAAGAAAACTGTCATTGACACAGTTAATAAACTATCCATATTTTAGAAACTCTACATTATATATTAATATCAGTGCCATCATAAGAACAGTATTCACATATAACCTGAGCCCACTACCCTTAGTGCTGTAAACCCATCACAACTTGCTGTCAGAACTACATTTAACATCATCTGATTGTCCAAAATGAAGATCTGGACATTTACCTCTCTTTTGTACAACCCTCAGAAGCAGAGAAGATCAGATTGTTCTACAGAAAGTGAACAGTAACTTACAGATTGCAGTGGGACTCCTGATTCAGTAAAATCCTCACCCTGAAGTGACATACAACAAAGAAATGTCATGCCAATGAGGCAGAAACTGATGCAGTCATCTCTTCTGGTGCCATGTGTTGGTTTCCTTCCTGAAGTAGCTATTAACGAGAACAAAAGTTAATGTCTGTTAGTTTTTAGGAATAAGGCATAAGAGGCATACATAACGGATAGCATGGTCCTATAAATAAAATAGTCTGATTCAAGAGGCAATTAGATAATTCATCTTCACTACTGTGTATACAGTAATAGCCTTGTGGGTTAGCTTGCTCTGTATGGCTCAAAAGCTTCTTTTTCTGCCACTTCATAGGAGGGTAATTTTGACTTTAAAGTTCTCCTGTTTTTTCCTGACTAGGTACACTCCCACTTGTTAATACTGGAGTAGTTACCACACTTTGAGTGAGGAAGATGTTTTTTGGAAAGGATAATTTTTTAATTCTTTGTTACTGATTCTGCTTTAAAAGTAAAACCTGGCTGCCTAATGTGATGCCTCTTCCTGTGTGCCCTGAGTTCACTTGCCTGTGGCACATTCTTGCCATGTAGTGCAGGGTCAGAACTTCTCTGGGCAGTAAACAGGTCATTCACAGCAAAGATAAAAAAATCTATTCCAGATTTATACAGAGAAGGACTTAGCTACACAGGTTCACATAGCCCAGGTATCATCTGTCTGAACTGGAGGAACAGAGGCTGAATGGAATTTTTGGCAGGCAAGTTCTTTTGATTAACTGTTTAGAAAAAGCCACAAAATGTTACCTTTCTTGCCCAATGGATGGAGAAGAACCTCAACCAGAATCACAACAGGTGGAGCTCTGGAAGGACTTTCTCATCTCCAGTTTATTCCCTGGAATAATGATTAATATTATGAGTAATAAATTCCATAGTTATCCCACTCTCCTACAGTGTCCACTGTTTTTGATAACTGATTTCATGAGCAACCACATTTGCTCTTTATTTGACGTATGTCCATGAGACCTATGTTTGGGTGCTGCTGAAACTTCTAAAAAGCACTATTACAACCCCTCCATGTACAACCTCCAGCTTCATAGCAGATGGCCCCAAAACAGGGCTGTGAACCAAAGCCACAATAGGAACATTACTGGCTTATGGGTTTTTCAGTGAATCTATTTACATTTAGCAGCTGTAACACATCTGTGTGCCCCATCATTGACACCAAACAATTTTTATGCTAAGTAAGAATAAACAGTGGAACAGCCAGGATGCTCCAGGGAAGGGAGGAAAAAGAAAAAAAAAAAAAAAAAAGGACTTGTCCTAGATCACAATAGTTTTATTCCTTGTACAGCTACTGACGACACATTAAAAGATAAATAGAATCATAGAATCATAGAATATCCTGAGTTGGAAGGGACCCTTAAGGATCATCAAGTCCAACTCTTGACACCGCACAGGTCTACCCAAAAGTTCAGACCATGTGACTAAGTGCACAGTCCAATCTCTTCTTAAATTCAATCAGGCTCGGTGCAGTGACCACTTCCCTGGGGAGCCTGTTCCAGTGTGCATTAAAAGATAAATAATATTACAATAAACATTTACTGTAATAATATGTAATATAATATATATATTGCATATATATAATGTATATTATATTCATATATTTATATGTGTATATATGTATATTATATTTATATATATTTATTACATAATAAAACAATAAACATACAATAAACAATAAACATTTTAGTTTAATAGTTGCTTGTAAATCCAGATAGTTAACAGGTATGGGATAACATAGAATAAAGCATTAAAGTAGTGTAAGGAGACAGAAAATAGATGCCAGCAAATCACCAATAGCATGGGTAAGATGACAGCCAATATAGAATCAGAGAATGGTTTGGATTGGAAGGGACCTTAAAGATCATCTAGTTCCAACCCCTCTGCCATGGGCAGGGACCAGCTGCCAGCAGAAAGGGACCATCAGGATCAACAAATCAGGTGGGATCCACCAATATGATCCCCCTGGCATGATAGGTCTTTCTGCAGACAAAAACAGAAGCTCAGAGTGTGGTGTTTGAATATAGTTGCTGCTTTAATGCAGGAATTCCCCTGTTCTACGAGGGTCAGCAAAGAAGGGGTAAGCCCCCAGAACATGACTCAGTGCATTGCCCATAGGCAGATGTCTAGTTATTGGCCCTGGACAGGCCACCCCAGGCAGTGGTGGCTCTTTCTGCTCCTTATCACTCTGTTCCCATTTCCAGCCCCTGCATCTCCCCACACCAGCCAGCTGCAGGCCGGTGAGAGGGACACCTCATTGTGAAGATACTCTAGCGTTTTGTGCCAAGTGTGAAGAGCTCCTTGACCCTGAGTCAGAAGAATGTTTTCCAGCCCCTGGAGGACTTTTGTAGCTTTTCTTCCAGCCCTCTTTTGTGCTCCTACAGGTTTCATCAGAGACTGACAGCAGAGCAGCTGCAGTGTTCCTGTAATAGCTTTTCCAATGCCACGTGAAGGATCCAGGCCAATACTGACTTCTTGCTACTCCTCTTTCATACATCCAACATCACACTGAGGCACAGAATGACTCTCAAGCCACTCTGAATGATGTTTTGTGAGACATGATCTCCTGTCCTGAGGAGCATGTGTTCCTGGCTCTCAGGTGCGGTACTGTGGATGCCTCTTCAAACACAGCAGCTGGACTGTGACTATTTAAACTAATGATCCTGATAGTTTTGCAGCAGTAATCTGTCCTGCTCAGTCCTTGTGCCATCTGTAACTACCACCATCAATTTTATGGTTGTCATCCACATCTTTACTAAAATGATTGCCTTGCTCTCTGCTTCCATTTTATTGTCCCAGCAGGAACCGCATTGACCTTCATCTCAAGGTGCTGGAGTTGGTAAGGAGACTTGTCACAAAGCCAGAGACAGCTAACATGGCCTGTTAACCCTTGGTTACATCACTAGTTTAGAGCATTTACTGATCTCTTTGATAGGACTGTTTCCCCATTGACCTGTACTTTGCTTATCTGCATGGTGCTGCCATGGCACCAACTTAAAACTGCATGAACCTGGCCTGGACCCATGTGGATACTTTGACCAGCCCCAGTCTCTCATGGCAAAGACCAGAAGTTTTTCTAGCAAGATTTTCTATGCCAAAAGCCATTAATTACAGTGTTTAGCCAACACTTAGCTGTAGAAAATCAAATTATTCTTCCCATCATTTGATATGGGTTTGTGGCTTTCCTTTCTCAAACGCTCACAATGATTTCATAATCCCTCAGTCACTTGGGATTTTCCAAGTTTTCAAGACATTCCAGATCTTACCACTCACAACTCAGCCAGCTTTCCAACTAATTCCCTTGGGAGCCCCAGGCTGAAGCTTCTCGGCATGCTGATTCAAAAATATTCAGTATTATCAGACATCCTGCTTGCACTCTCCTCAGTGCAAAGTGACAGTTTCTCCAAGAACACAGCCAGGCTGGAGCAATACATGGATGAACACTGCCAGATTTGCAAAGAAAAGCTTCTCAGAAAGGTGCATACAACCTTTGACTCTATGTTCCAGTTTGTTGATTCAGTATTCTTTAGATTAATGTAAAATAATGATTAAACTCTTATATTATGAAGGGAATATTCTATTGTGAAGAGAACAGAAAGACACTGACACAAATGCCACGCTCCTTCACTCAAAACAGGAAGGGGCTCCTTGTATAAGAACTCATAGCTTGAAAAGACCAAATTTGTGAGATGAGCTCAAGTATAAAGATTAAATATTACAACCAGATACTAGAAGGCTACTGCACCTCAGTTTACCTTGGTACAAGCATTATTACAAGGAGAGCTTTCGTTAGCCCATATTTCCTGCTCTTTTATTGCTACCTGCTGGTTAGAACAGCTCATCATACTACTCTGTTACTATGCTACTTGTTACCATTTTCCCTGGCTAAACTCAAAGTCTCAATGTTCTTTTTAAAGTAGAAGTAATCCCTTCACATGAAGAACTTCTGAAAAATCCTAATGCCTCAGGGAATTTTATGCTATCAGATTCACAGACACTAGTTGTTTTGTTTTGTTTTGTTTTGTTTTGAGAAGCAGAATGAAGTTTGAAATGCATTGTTTCATCATCTTCAAAATGGAGCATGAAATTAATTTCTGACATCAAGCATTTCTTGTACTAACTCTAAGATACAAAGAATAAGGTAGAAGCAAGAAAGGAAAAAAAAATAAAGATAAAACATTAATGATGGAAAGAAGATGGAAACAATAATTTGGAAAACTTAAATTTTCAAGATAAACTTGGAAAAGACATCTAATACCCTCATAGAATTAAAATTAAATCATTGCCTTTTTATGATATTTTCCTCTTTTTTATTCTCCTGGACATTATTAAGGGAGGCAGGTTTTCTTGTCAGCCTGGGCAAAATCATCCTTTACTAACTATATACTGGTTCCAGCTCTACCACTACTCTGCCTTTCAGTTCTATCACCCAAAATTTTTGGCCCGAAATTCCTTTAATGGCCTGAAAGCCATTAGGAACAAAATTAATCTGTATCACTCAACTCTGCAAACAGATAGAGCCATAACTGTCACATCTCCAAATGAAGACAATACAAGATAAAGGGAAGCAGCATGACTTGTTTTGAAACAAGTATGTATGTATTTAGAGCAAAGAAAGGGAAGAAAGATGTGACTGAACACTGCTGGTAGTGTATACAGAAAAGGAAGGAGTCAACAAAGAGACAAGGTCAGGGCTTATGGATTGGCAAACATCATTTCCACCTTCTTTGAAAAGCAAACTTTTCAGAATAAAAAAGGACTAGAAATAACAATTACATTATACACAAATATTTCAGATAGTCTAAGGACAAGTCTGGCTCTTAAGCATTGAAAAATTTCCCCTCAAGCCACAGAAAAGAGTGCCATGTACACCTCTCTTCCAGTTCCATTTCTTTCCATTAATGTAGAAGAGACAGCCTTTAACAAAAACAATAACCTTATACTGATGACTGTTAAGGAAATAGTTGTAAGGCTTTCCAGTGGCAGTGTGACAAGCACTGTCTTTAAACATTTAGGTTTTCTATATTTTTAGAATATCTTCAATTTGTTTATTTATTTGTTCATTTATTTGTTAATGACCTAGAAATATAACATATATATATATATTATATAATGCTGTACATGTAGTACCTAACACTGCACTACAGTACTTTTATTTTTTTAAGCCTTTCTTTGAATTCCTTATTTTAATCTTGTGTCTAGAGACCAAGAAAGCTGACGTGCCTTTCTTGGTAGTAATGTACCAAGAAACTGCCTGGATCTAAAGAAATGAAAAGCATTGTTTACAATCTAATTTAAGTACGTGTGACAGAACATGCATATTTTAAGGCAATAAAAAATTAGTAACAGAGATAATCAGCTGCTTTTGCCATGACAATAGCTTCCTTATTTACAGTTTTAATAATGAACCATGAAAGAACGATACTTCTATTTCTACAACACCAAATAAAATTCCCTGAAGAGCTAATCCTATAAAACAATAATTACTTGTTCAAGTTAGAACTTTAGATTCTCAATACTTCTAAAGAAAGTCAATCACTTGGAAGTTAAGCATGGTCATAAGAGACTGAACAGGGAATGAACTACAGCAGCTCCCTTACTTGTTAATATATGTGCAGAATTGTGTCTCAGATTATGATGCATCTGTTTTCCAATAACACCCTGTTTTCACAGTAGAGCTTTGTTGAAAAAGAAATTCATTATATGGCAGATTTTTATATTTTCACAATTTGATTTTGTCCCCATAAGCTTAAACCACTTGTCAGCATAACTGACAGGGAAGTTGTAGGAGGAATTGTTAACAAAACCTGGCTAGTTTTCTCTTGTGTTTGG